CGGGAGCGGGCCTCGCCGCCTCCCCCTTCCCTGGAGAAAAACTTACGGGAGGATTTTCTATTTTCAACATTTCGTTCTATGGCTTTCTTTCTTCTTTAAAGTGGTGGCGCTGAGCGCGGTCCTGGCAGCGAGGGCAGCGCCTCCCTCCGGCCTCCCGCGCTGAAGCCGGTGCGACTCAGGCGCTGTCACAGCCTGGGAAGCGGCTGTGCTAGGTGGGAGCGGTGTTGGCCAGCGGTGCGCGCGTCCTTCTGGCGAGGTCAGCTTTTTGTTTGTTCTTCTCCACTTGAAAGCTCCCCGCTTAGCTTCTCATGGTCTTCTCTGCCGCTTTCGCTTGTTAAAACATTGATTTAAATTTTGAAACAAGTATTTTTGCATTTTACTCATTAAAATAGGGAGGGGAAAATACTTGCTTTGGGGGGGCAAGACTTTCCGATGAATCGTGAAACATTTTACCACTTTGTAATGTCACCTGACTGCCCCCCTTCTGGTTTAGATTCCTGATCAAGGAGAGGGGCCAGGACAGCTGGTATCCTGGGCAGCAATGAAGACGTAGCCGCGCCGACCTTTGCTTATAGTGCCAGGTAAGTGCGCCTGTCTCATTCAGTACTTTGGTTATGTTTGAAATGTGCTAAATTTCATTTTATTTTCAGTAGTTGGATTAATGACAAGCTTTTATTTCAAGACAGCAATACTTTTTCCAAGTAATGCAGTTACTTAGCTTTGAATCCTCTTTTTCGGTTTTGAAAGACTGTAATCTACGTTTAACTTTGCCAACTTTTTAAGTATTTATCTCTTCTCAGAGTGGCAAGTGACTTAATAGCACAGCTACAAGAGTTACATAATTCTTTTTTTTATAAAAATGTTCACTGAAAGCACTATTTTTCCCTTTTTTCAAGTTAGAACAAAATCTAATCATTCTAAAATACAGTACCATGTAATCAAATGGCTAGCATAATCTTGACTATGCTACAAAATATTTATTTAAATACAATGGTATAGAAAATTAAAGAATGATTTTTTTAAGCTTACAACATTTCAGAGGTATATTTCCTAGAATTCTTAGACAGGAGCACCCTAATGGATTACGTGGTTGGTTTCTGTGGGGGAAACAAGTATAAATCTCTGGAATATTGTTCCAGTTCTGCTCTTAGAATCAATAATTTTGGATTCTTTGCAGGAAGGTATTTTATTACACTTGGCAAGACTAAATTTAAAAAACATAACAAAAAGCAAAAGAAAAACCTTAGGGACATCATTAAGGTGTGGATATGGTTCCTGTTTTTAGCAAAGCGCAATTCCTTTCTTCATTTTCTCCAGAAATGACTCAGTTGACATAAAAAATGAAGATAAGTGAGCTGTGCTGGAGATGCACATTTATCCATGAAATGTAGCCTTCATCTTCCCTCTTCATTTATCAAATTTCTGTCACGGTTTTCCTCGTGCTATTGTGTTGTTGTTTTTCTTTTTGTTACCACGATTGAGATAAAAGACTGGGTGGGAGTTAGAGTGTTTGGACTGCACTGTATTGGATGACAGAGTATGTGGCATTTTAAAAAGAACTATGTTTGATTTCCTAAAAATAGAAAAATGAGCAGCCTTGGCCAAACGTTAATAACCCCGGAGTGCTTCTTCACAAATTCTTTGCTGTGTAGAAAAAGTCCAGTGGCTAATAGGCTTGGGTGACTCGGGGCCAGCCTGAGGGAGGGCACGCGGGATCGGTTCCCTCTTGGGTCTTGTGATGTCTAATGTTTTTGACTTGGGTGGAGGAAAAAAGAACAATGTCAAAACCTCGTGATAATGTTAGCAAAGCGTCAGAATAAACTAGCAAAAGAGAGTGACAGTCAAAAGCTGATGAAGTTCTACTTGGCAAATGCAGGGTTAGGGGAGATTTACACTCAGAAGTTAGGTTCTCAGAATCATGAGCTTGGGTGGCAGAAGCACGAGGCTGCACAGCACACGTGGGATTTGAGGGGCAGTCACAGTGCCGTGGAGCCTCAGCACACATGCAGGGGGCAGTGCCAGGGAGCCTCTCGTGGGAACTGGGGCCGTCATCTTTGTCCAGGAACGACTCCTCGCTTTGTTGGAGTGGAGGTTTGAATGTCCTGCAGCCGTGCCCCCCACCCGGCTCCCTGGGAGCCCGAGTGCCGCCTAGGAGGAGAGCGAATGGCTATGTTGTTCCTTGCACATCGTGTGGGCTCGGTCATGGCGAAATCCCAGGCAAGAGAGTTCATCGTTTGACTCAGATACTTAGTAGTGCTAGGCCATAAAAGCCTCGCAATCGGGATGCCCTGTGTCCTGAACACATCCTTTACAGAGCCTGTCCCAGCAGGTTTCCTCCTCAGCTAATTGCTGCTCACCATATATTTATCTTCATTCAGTAGCTTGTCCCAGCTCATTGTTGTATTTTCTGCCACGCCCTACCCTAAAACGTTTCCACGCTCCCATATCTTACTTCCCTTCGTCCTGTCAGGAAGAGATGTGCTGCCATCTCAGGGCTCCGTCCTTCTCCGTCCCTGTGCTTTGATACCACCTGCTCAGGTCTCCACACTTCCCAGCCCCTCTCTTGCCTGCTCCTCCCCCAGTTGAAGTTGGATTGTCTCTACACTCTTCTTCCTGCTGGAACACTTTCTTGTTGCTCCTTAAAGAACTCCTACTGATCCTTCAAAACCCATCTCCACAGCTTTCAGGGAAGCTGAGGGAAGGGAAGCTTTCCTCTATAGACATTGCTTAGTTCTGAGACTAAGACATTGCCTGGCTTCTGTGAAGTGCCACAGAAGGGCATGGATATATGAGTGAGTGAGTGAATGAGGGAAAGGTAGAAAGTGAATAAAGAGATGTCTCATATCTGAACCTCTGCCATTTCTGTTTGCAAGAAGGTCTTGTAAGCAGAGAGCAGACTTTGCTTTCTCAGGTGATGTTCCCCCACCTCCACCATGTCTGGAAGTCATGGTTCTACAGACACATCACCTTGTAGGCCCTCAGGAGCTCTGCAAGCTCAGGAGCAATCTCTACCAAATATCATAAGATAGTACTGATCCAATCTTCTTGAGAATGAACGTGGCGTAAATGCAGCTATGAGACATTCCACTCACGGCAGTGGCTGTCCCATAGGATCATACCATTGAGGGACATTGCAGCCTTCAAAATTTGTGGAAGTTAGCTCCATGAAATTCTTATGATGCATTTCTCAGAACTCCTTTCCGTTGTTAGGTGATGCTGGTCTATACTATAGAACTATCATGTAGTAACTTGGCATATTTGAAAAGCCAGATAATCAAGTAGAACAGTTTGTGTCTGTGGAAGTGGTTTTCTTTTTTTTTTTTTTTTTAACTTTTAAGATGTTACTTTTAAGATATTTTCATTTCTCAGAATGAGGTATAAAATCTGTAAGCTTTTAATGAGTGTCAGCTTTGACCACCTCAATCCTAATTTATTCTCTGGAGTCATAGTTTGTTTTCCACACTTGAGGCTTCCCGAGGAGGTTCACACTGGTGCCACAACGGGCATTGAGGGACCTGTGCCTTCTGGCCAGTTCTAACTTCTTCCTGTGACTCCTTCGTGGTACTTTTCTTCCTGTTGATTCTTGATTAGGCCTTGTTTCTTGTCTTTCCTATTCTGTTCTGTGGCTCTGCTTTTTCAGATTCCCCGTGCAGGGTATTAGGTTCAAGCTTCCAAGCCTGGTCTGTTCTTCAGCCTCTCACTTCTAGAGCTGCTGCACTTTCCCACTCATGGGCAGAATTGCCAGGGGAGGAGCCTTTCCTAAGCCCTAACGTGGGCTGGGCTGGCCATGGTGCCTCTCTTTTGCCTATTTTTCCCATTGTTTACAACTGTTCATTTGTTAGATTCCATCCTTTCACCATCCCTATCCCTGAAGGAGATATGGTCTCTACATTTTTACCATGTTTCGTTACTTATTTTTTCATATTCATAGTCACAATCAAATGTTTGGATGAGTTTCTGGTATCGGGAAACCATCACCGGACCCGGTTCCTGCTGGTGTTTTGCTTTGCCTAGCTTGACAATGTGTCTCCCTTCTTCCCTCAGATTCTGTCTTTCTTTTTAAACGTTGTCTTTTCTGTGCCACCATGAAGGGGAAGGATTTGAACCCAGGCAATCTCACCCCAGAGCCAGTGCCTACTTAGTTAAATCAGTTGTTTAAGTCAAAGGGAGGAGAAGCAACCTGAGGAGGCTTTTTCAGATCAATGGATTATCAAAAAAATGCTCTCTCCAAACACTGGGATGATAATCAGCCTTGAAAGGAAGAGATTTCTGATACCTACTACAATCTGGATGAACTTTTAGGACATTGTGCCAGACATAACAGCACACATTCTGTGTGACTCCACTTACATGAGGGGAAAGTAGAATGGAGGTTGCCAGGTGCTGGTGGGTAAGGACAGTGGGGACTTGTTCAGTGGGTATAGGGTTAAATTTTGCAAGATGAGGAAGTTCTGGTCCTTGGCTACACATCCATGAATATGCTTGGCACACTTTCTGTGAATGTACTTAATGTTACTGAGTTGTGCACTTACAAATGGTTTCAACAGTAAATTTTATTTTAAATGTACTTTATTACAATTAAAAGTAAAAAGTCAGAGTGCTTGCTTTTATGAAGATATTGTTCTTTCACAAGAAAAGAATAAGAAGCATTTCTTCGATTTAGAGACCTTATGTTTTGAGCTTTATTTCTCCTTGCTTTGATTTTTAAATTGTTTTTTTATTTAAAAATAAATAAATCTGTCATTTAATATACAATGACAAAAACAAACCATATTTATATTGGTAAGATCTTCTGGATTTAATTTTAGACCTCATTATCCCTGTTCTTATTGTTGCCTATTTTTGAAGTAAAATCTGATTCAGAATTATTCACTTCCTCACCTGCTTTTCTTTAGCAAAGATAATAGGATCTTATTGCTCATCCAGAAATACTTGTATGACACTTTAAAGATTACTTTTATGATTAAGAGCAGAAATGTTTGCTCTTTCACAAGCAGAGGGCCTGACAGACTCCAGGGCTTGATATGATTACTCATAAGCCAGCCACTTTAGTCTTTTTGCTTTTTTCCCTCTCATCATGATAATAAAGCTTTCTCATGGCAAAGCATGGCTCTGAAAGTACAAATAACAGTATAATTTTGAAAGAGTGTAATTTTGAAAGCAGTTTGGAAGCAGTTCTTCTTCTACACCAAGGTTCCGACCCATGATGCAATATCTTTCTCAAAGAATTTAAAAAGAGACTGGAATCACATCAGCCAGGATTCTATGAGCTGAGATGGAGGGCAGGCAAAAATGTGAGGGAGCTGCCTGGTGAGAGGTGGGCTGAGATGGCACTGAAAAAGACAGAGCAGAGGGTGAAGGGGAAGAATTATAAACCTAGCGGAAGTACACAGCTCAGTGTCACTTAGCTTTTGAACCTTACAAACATAATCATAGAGTCTGGTCCGACTGTCATAAAATTGATCTATTCTATTAAGCAAATTTAGAATCCAAGTTGATACTTTAAATTCTTTTCTAAAGTTATTTTAAAAATACACTAATCAAAAATATTACTGAAGGATCACACTGAAAAGTTTTAATT